TGTGTGTGTGTGTGAATGCTTGTGTGTATGTATGTGTGTGTGTGTGTGTGTGTGTGTATGTGTGTGTGCATGTGTGTGCGTGTATGTGTGTGTCTGTCTATCTGTGTGTGTTTGTGTGTTTGACTTTTGTACATGCATGCACCTATGCCAGTCCAACAGTGCTAAACCAATCCTGTAAGCCGTTCATTCTTGGTCCTACTTGTTTTCTTTTTTAGTGTCTATGTCTTTCTCTCTGATGACAAGCACCTCCCAACCTTTGAATTACAAAGTTTTGTCGGACATTTTTGGGCGTTTTAAGATAATGATGCCAGAAATCAATGAATGTTCTATCTGCCCTATCAAAATCCTAAGATTATTGGGAGTCGTTATCAAGATACTCAAAGAATTGCATTGGGAAAAGCCTGACATAATGTGAAAGTGAAAATCGTTGAAGTAAAATTTCTCAAAATTAGATTCTGAGTAGATAAAACTTTGTAATTCTGGGGTAGCAACCGGTCAGTGCAGCTTCTTTGCCTATTTATGCGCCATAATAATATACTAATTGGGACAACGGTACTGTCGTTGTGACAAAAGAGAACAAGGTTGTTGGTTTGTTGGTTTTTTATAAAGATTTGCTCAAGTGTGGAGCTCACTTTGAAGTACAATTTTAATGAGTTAAAGCAGCTTGGTACAATGATATATGTGAGCCCACAACAAATATTAACATAAGCTTGTGGGTGGTGGGCGGGTGCTCTGGTGTGGTTTGCTTCTTCTTTCCTATCAAACATCTATCGTCCTTATCTCCCCTTCTTCTTTTTATGTTTGTTACTCTCTTGTAACACCTCTAGTCTTCTGACGCTCATATGACCTTATGCAGTTGCGAGCGCTGTAAAACCTCTACTACTAAAACTAAACTAAAATAAGCTTGACTGTATGCTAACTTACACCCCCCAAAAAAATTCCAATATTTTTTTTACAGATGAATGACACCGAAATCAACAATTCAAAGTTCCATTTTCTGCTGGGCGATCTGGTGAGTTTTATGTTAACATAGTCTATTAGGGGTGAGACGGGATGAGGTGGATGTGATAATACATGCTGTCTGACGCCTAGTTGTTATGTTTTTTGGCTCACAAACTAAAGGTTTTGGGTTCAAACCCGTCACTGACATTACATTTTATCATTAGGAAAAAGCGCTTCATATGAATTTTCCTCACCCAAACAAAAGGGATTGAGTACTTGGGCAAAGACATTGAACATCTTGTCAGTTTGATGTTATGTATGCATTTAATCAGCTGCTTGCACTGTATGCTTCCAGAAAAACGAAGAATGTTTCTGAATGTTCTAGTGTCTGATGAACCCGCTATGCAAGTTATTATAATTACTATTATTATCTAATAACATTATCATTATTATTATTAATATTGTTATTGTTATAATTTTTATTGTTATGATTATTATGATTATTATGATTATTATTATTATACA